TCACTTCTACATCCCAACCACCTAGAAAGGCCGGAGCGTAAAAATGCCAACAAAGATGAGGACAATATATATATATATATATATATATATAGAGAGAGAGAGAGAGATGTGTCGTTGATTAATTTAGACATTGTCTATTTTTTATATGATTCACGAATAAGCTTTTTGATGTTATTGTTGAAAGATGAGAGAAAATCACCGTGTTGATACATATTCATTTATTTTCCGAGGACTTTCGACATAGCACAATGTAATTATCAGGGTATTGTTTATTACAGGATAACTGTTATAGTGTTCATTTTTGTGAAAGACAAAATAGTTTTGATAAAGTGAAAAATAAATTTCTTATAAGTGTAGTGAGAAGCGCTGAGTCAGTTAAAAGCATGATAACTGACACCGTTTAAGGTGAAGTAACTAAGAACGGTCTGGACAGTTTTTACAATATGAGTAGTAGAAAAAAAAAGAAAAAGTATTAGTATAAACCTTCTCATTTCGAACTATCTATAGTGCATATTTTAAAACATTTGTGGGGTATTCATAATTAATCTTCTTAAGCTTTGCTTTCAATTTTTTAATATAAATAGCTTCAAGAATTTTTAGCTTGTGTTTATTTTTTGTGGGAAAACAAATTGAGGTATTTTCGACAAAGATATATATATATATATATATATATATATATGTATGTATTATAAAAGATTTTAATAAAAACATTTTGAAATCGCTACACAAAAGCTTTCATGTTTCAATACTATGTTCGTACTTCTCCAGGCGATGGTAGGTAACTGGTTATAAAATGATTTTCTAGGGAAATTTAAAAACATATCGTTACGTCTTTTGCTAAATTTAAAGTGGGGCATAAGATACTCCATTTGTTCCTTCTCTTATTTGTATATATATATATATATATATATATATATATATATATATATATATATATATATGTGTGTGTGTGTGTGTGCGTGCGTATGTGTGTGTGTGTGTGTGTGTGTATCCATTGAAGTTTCATGCTTATACACAATCATGTCAGACGATTGCGTATAAGCATGAAACTGACTGTCACCGCAGGTGTTGACTTCAATATCGACTTTTATATTTACATACGCTCTATCCCTGATATTGAGAACTTTAACCCATAAATATAGCATGTGTTAAAATTATATATATATATATATATATATATATATATATATATATATACACATATACATACATACATACAGGGTTACAATAAAGTCACTATACAGTTATTTATAACAAAAAATAAAAAATAAATAAATCATTGAAACCGGTGGCTTGCAGTTCGAAGAGTATCGGTATTTAATTTACTATTGTTTACCATAACATTTTATTGTTATTAAATTAACCAGAACCATTTAAATAATAAATTTCAAAACTGTTGATTAATTACTTTGTCTTAATTGTCATTGTATGTAAACGTATATTGATTTTATTGCCAACCTGTATATATTGTTGTTTAAAAGTTATTTTTTTTTGTGTGTGTGATAAGATAAATTAGAAATAGGACAGATCTTAATCTAAAATGTTTCACTTTATTAAAGTTTCGTCAGAGATCAAGATAGAAACAATAAAATCTGATAAAAAAAATCAAAGAGACACAGATTAATGGTATGTTATGTTTTGTTATTTCTTATTGGTTAGATACGTGTCACATGATATCGGAGACATATTGGACGCTAAAGTGTGTAAAAGTTAGTGAAACGCAGTAGGATGATTTAATTGGTTATTTCTTATTGGTTAGATACGTGTCACATATAATGAAGTAACAGATAATCAAATATGTGTGCGAAACATTCTGGACGCTAAAGTGTGTAAAAGTGAAGGTCTGTTGAAATATGCCCAGTTCTTTTTTTTAAATTCTAACAAACAAATATATATCAATATTATAATTTCTATTATATCATTGTTATGAAATGAGTATCAACAAATTATTTACCAGTTTTTTTTTTTTCGTATGGCATTATTGTGTCAAAAAATAAACAAGATAAATAAACAAAGTATTTGACGATACTGACCCAAAACTATCAAAGGGTTTTCCAGGTTTTTGTTTTTGATAGATATTAATACTGATATGAAATCCGAAAAGATGATAAAGTTTGAAGACTTTTCGTTGGTGATCACATCAAAGACTATATCGTGTTTCCTAAGGGTGATTCTGAATCTAGGGTTTGTTTTTTTTTCTCCAAGAATGATTGCTGAGGTTGCCTTACCGTTCTACAAGAGAGTCTACTCTGCTATGTAATATCGCCAAATTAATAGAATTCTTTCTGTCGGATTTTTTGCCGTTTCAAACAATGGATTAAAAAGCGAACATACTTTTGATACCACACAGTATCTATCGACTTCATGTCACTATAATAGAATCAGAGAAAAAAAAATTCTTACTTTTAGCCATAATAGTTTGACTTGCAGCGACGTCTGCTGCTAAATTAGATTTCTAAGTGGATCCCCTATTCGGCTGCTTCTCGCGAAACGTCATTTTTTATTGTGTTAAAACCACGTCCATTGTGAAGAACTGCATATAGGCCTTCTGGACATGACACGGCGCACACATCCAGACACACACACCCACAACACACTCTTCCCCCACCCACCAAATCAGAACTCTGAGGCAGTCCAAATTTTTTGGCTGAATGTTTAGGCGCTTGATCCTGTTTTGGAAAGGACGGAACTTGGAAAGCGTTCTTACATAATAGCTGTTCGCTGGAATTGCAGTTAGGGTCTTTGTGCAAGATAAGGTCCTTCCATTTCTAGCGCAAATATACCTGCTCCAATCAATTTCCGCTTCTCCTCCATCAAAATCGGGAAGCCAATCACAACGTTTCCACGCACAAAAGAACATGCTATTGGAACGTTAGAATACAATAGACGCTTACCAACCCAACGGCTAGCACCTTATTACTCGGAAGCCACCCCTTTTAAACGAAATCTCCCACCCTTATATTTTTATTGTCTTTTCCAAAAGAAAAAAAATCCGAAGTAGAGACCTATATACAAACCAGGGTAGAGTTTTATTTTACAAGCATTATATCTACGCTTACATGAACTAAAAAAATTAAAAGTATAACCAAATGCGTATTACTAGATGGGGACTATTTGGGGGAGAGGATGACTGGGTCGGATAAGAGATTATTTCGAACATTTGGCAGATTTCGCATTTTCTAACACAGAATCAAACCCAGGGGTCGTTCAATGAAATACAGAAAGCTATTGTGAATGCAACAATAGAATATTTTTCAGAAAAATAATGCGTAAATAGATTTAAAAATAAACCAAGGCTTTTTAACGGTGAATATCGCATTTGTCTAAATCATTTAATCATATATATATATATATCTATCTATATTTATCATTTATATATATATATATATATATATATATATATATATATATATATATATATAAATATATATATAAAACAAAGGCTCAAACTAACATTCCATGGTTATAATTTACTACATTACATAACATAATAAATTACAAAATTTATTACATTTAATAAATTATAACCATGGAATATTAGTATTTGAGCCTTTTATATTATATTCTTACTCTGTCCTGGACATTGAGTTCTACATGGATTCTATCCTCCTTTTATGTATGTATATATATATATATATATATATATATATATATATATATATATATATATATATATATATGTTGATCACGAATATTATCTATCTATACACACACAGTCACAAACACACACACACACATATATATATATAAAGTTAATGGTTAGAGTTTAATGAGACTAGGAAACATTAGTCTCAAAAAGTGCTGAATGCAAAATATATGATAAAAATTTTACATGTAGAACTTTTTAAGCATAGCTTTTAAGTTTTCTCTTTCTCTCTCTTATATATATATATATATATATATATATACATATATATATACATATATACACACACAAACACACACATACATTCACCCACACACACACATATATATATATATATATATATATATATATATATATGTGTGTATATATGTGTGTGTGTGCATGTATGTGTGTGGGGGAGCACGCGCGTGTTTATGTATGTTTATGTATATATGTATATTCGTGTAAGAAGCCAAATTTTCTCTAACTCGAACCTTTTCCAAAAAATTTGTATTTGGATGAACAAACATCTTAATTCTGATTTTAAAACAAATATGTTCAGACCGAGAACAATTCCGAATCCCATGTTACATATATACAAGGTGCGGTGGGTAAATCGTCGCCATTTTATATTTTTAATTTCGCGCATGCGCATTGTTTGCTTTTGAGTTTGTAATCTGGATAGTATAGTAGGGTCTGTTAGGCACTGTCTGTGAGAAAAAGTGCGCCATGCCGTTAATAATTCCGCCAGAAATTTGGAAATGTCATGTTGTACTCCTTGACATTCGGGCCGCAAGGTTTATTACGCACATTTCAGAGTGTTTGGGTGTCAATCTTAGGCGCGTGCATCGGAATCGGAAAAAGTTGGAGGTGTCTAATGGTGATTACGAAGATGTTTGTTGTGATAACTAGTGATGGCGGCATTATGCCTCCATTCAGTTTTCTACAGGTCCTCAGCCTCTGCAGGGAGACCTACATCAAGTTCCTTGATTCGTAGTATTGCTCTGGGTCAAGATGTCAACTGTTGAAACCCCTTTATCTGGTAAAAGGAATCTTCCACATATGACACAAGCAGGGAAACCCAGTCTCCAGACCGCAACATACTTGATTACCATGTGTCCTGTGCAGTTAAGTGAGAGACAAAAAAATCCTTGCAACACCAAAGATGAACCAAAGTCAGCATTCGCCAACTTAAAGTAGACCGCCCAGAAGAATTGCAGGAGATTCCGCAGTCGTCTGGTGGTCCTGGTTGATTCCAATGACCATTTTATTGAATAAATTTACTCTTTAGTATTTCACGATAATTTTGTTTCGTGAATATATCTGTTAAAATAAGATGTCAGTGTTGATATGCCGTAGAACAAAGAAAACGAAATCAATATATACTGAGATTGATAGATAGATAGATAGATGGATACGAGTAGACCGAGATAGATAGATAGATAGATAGATACGAGCAGACTGAGATAGATAGATAGATAGATAGATAGATAGATAGATAGACAGATAGATAGATAGATAGATAGAAAATATTACCAGCAATAAAAATCTTGTCGACATTAAATAACCCATTAAGATGTTGATATGCCGTAAAACAAAACAAAACAAACACATCCTCTGATCAGAAGGTTTTGAGGAGCGGAAAAATACCTCCTAATTGCTGGTGTTCCCAGGTCCACTCTGACCCAGGGTGGTAGCACCTGTTAGGGTCCCAGCTATGGGCAAATAGTTAACCCCCAAACTGGGGTCAAAACACTATAGAGGTGTAAATCCGTTTTAATTTCCAGCAATAATTTTTTGTTAAAAATGATTTCCAGCCATATATTATTACCAGGAATACATTTTTGAAGAAAAAAATCTTTGAAAAAAATACTATCAGCATTAAAAGTCTTGGCATTAAATAACACATTAAGGTTGATATGTCCTAAAACAAACCAAACCAAACCAAAACAAACACACAAACACAGGTCCTGTCAGGATTGGAATTTATAAGAAATAATATCTTGCTCAACAAGATCAATGACGAGAGACTAATCGTTAATAAACATCTCTCTCTCTCTCTCTCTCTCTCTCTTTGGCACTCGAGGTTGCAAAGAGAGGTCAGTGGTCGGGTGGGATTTTGCTGTTTGTCTAATCGACGAGTCTCTCATCGCTGGAGAACGAATGGATGAGATTCTCGATAAATTAGACCTAATGTGTTGATAATGGGGACATTATAGACAAACTTATGGGAAATGTCTGCTCAATCAGAAGAGTCGGCCGAATATTTCTAAGATGGTTGGCTCGACAACAGCCGATAATAGAGTAATTAGTATCCTGGATGTAATTTAGCTTCCGAATGTGATCGTTGTTTTCACACTGATGTTAAAATCAACGTTATCTTGGTGTGAGGCAAAAAAAAAAAAAAATTAGGTTTTAAATATAAGTTAACAAGAGTCGTACGTACTAATAAATTAAATTATAACTTCGACCTAAAGAAAGCCACACTTATGACAAGAGGAAGTAACTTAAACGGAAATTTCTTGAGAGTGTAGCTATCGAATCTTACCAAAATATAAATCTACGGATTTTATCAAATATCTCTTTTCCGAAAAGAAATAGCTCTTTCCCAAGACAAAATACATAATTACAAAAATGTTAAAAAATTAACAGAAAAAGGTTAAATCCAAATCCTATTATTTAAAATACAGGGTGTTTCAAAAAATGTGATATCATTTCGCAATCTAATAACTTTGTTAGATCTCCTTCAAATTTTAATAGCATCTTTATGTTTAATGTTTGTTTTATGTTTTTATGTCTTTATGTTTTTGTGTTTTTCTTATTTGTATTTTTATGTTCTTTAATCTTTAATCTTTTTCTTTACAGGTATAAAAATGCTATTTACTAGAAGAGAAAAGGCGTTTTGTGTGTTCACATAATCCACATGCTTTTGAATTTCTCATTCAGATTTGGAAGAATAAATCTTTTGATCTTCAACATTAATACTTTTTAATTTCATTTGCCTTAATCATGTACTTTCTGTGATATTTACCTCTCAAAGGATATCAAATTTTTTGGAACACCCTGTATATTAATCTCAAACTAAAATAATACAAATAATATAAATTATGAAAAAAAAAAAATTAACATTAACATTAGCATTTACCCACTTTTATTTATTACAGAATAAATTATATCTTTTATTATCCTCTATAATTTTCCTTGACTTTCAGTTACCCTGATGGATATTTATGTTGTAACCTAGCGAAGGTTACTGAATAGAATAATCACACGGATGTTGGAACAATTAGGGCGAGAACAACACATATAAAATTCGCCAGTGGCGCGTAGAAGTAGTCAACTGCTAGAAGTGAGTCAAGTGAATTCCACAATGAATCTCCAACTGCAGGATATCTACTAACCGCCCCACGCGGTCTGATATGGCACAAGGCCGGATTTAATGTGGGGTAACCGAGCCCGTAGGCTCAGCCGAAAATTTCCCACAGACCCTATATAAAACTGAGTCGGGTAACTGTTTCCCGAGACGATACTCTGTCCTTTGACATAACCTCTTCTGGGGATCTTCTCTGCACAGCTGGAGACGAATCTCCAACTGCAGACCAACATACAGTATTTACTACTGTATTTATGTGAATGGGGACATACCCATTATCGTTCGTAGGTACGCGAACTTAAATTATAAAATTCTGACAAACTAACGTCATTTTTACTTTGGTTTAAAAATACTTACTTCCATTATTTACATTACTCGGACAGTGATCCTCATTTACAACATTTCGGCTGTTTTATGTTCCGGCCTTTTTAGGGTGATTGGAATTTCGAACCGAATATTTTATTTTGTCTAACTGGGGAGATTGTTGTAGTTCCACTTGCCATGCCTCTTCTGGATGTCTCAGGTATTTCCCTTTAAACTCATCTTTTCAAGTTTTGGTTCAATACTGCTGTGGCCTGGTTTTGAACTCATAACTCTTTTGGTTTAGTTACTGGGTCTAACCAATGTCTTTATCCAGTGGATGAATACGTTGTACGCTCCGACATGAATATAGCAATGAAGATGAGGATGACCTTCCGAGTAATACTAATAATGCAAGAAATCATACTACCTCATCTCAGAGATATAGACATTTATAAATAGTTCTTGGAAAATAACGTCGTTACGTTTGCCTTGAAAAATTCTATCACACACACACACACATAGATATATATGGTTAGAAGATTCGCTTACTGACCACGAGACCCAAGCCTTGTGAGTGAAATTGGGTAGACGGAACTTCTTCCTTAGCAGGAAGTCACAAGTCATCGTGACCGAGGGTTTGAAAGTGCTAGCCTTGTTTAGACATTTGATCAAGGCTAGATAACGCGCTCTCTCCCAGAAGCTGTAACTAAGCCCCGCTTAGCATATTGCAGTATAAAACAGAGCTGGGCTCTGTGGGTGTCAAACAAACACAAATGTGCCTGAGCAGGTGTCTGCAACAGAGATTGTCTAGCCGCCCTAAATACATATAGTGGATGCGCGCTGCTGATGAGTCCCAAATAAAGTACGAAACGGCCGTCCAGTGCTTTCTGCATTCTGTTGAGGTTTCTCGTTCTAGACTAGATGAATTATTATGTGAAATTATTCAAATCTCCCCCAAATTTCTATTACTTATAAACCTATGCTTGATCCAGTTTTAATGCTCTGAATGGAGCGACTTGATGAAGGAAGACGTTGCTTTTGGCGCCGGTTCCAGTGGGTGATGTATATTGGATGAGTATATGCACCGGTATTAGGAGTAAACGTGCTATATTGAGTCGCCGAGGCCCACTCGTCCAGTGATATGACGCTTGCGTTGTATCGTAACGTTCCGAGTTCGATTCTCGGTACTGGATGCGCACTGCTGGTGAGTCCCATAAATGACGAAACGGCATTCTGTTGAGGATTATTGTATATCTCTATCTATAAAAGGCAGGATATGTGTGTGTGTGTAACGAATGCACGGCCGCAATTTTCGACGGATTTGCACCAAAATTTACATGCACATGCTCCAAGATAGTGGAAAGGCCAAGACCGACGTTGCATTTCCCAACTCCCATCGATAGTGGAAATAATCGATTTTTTTTCATGCTTCTACGGCAGTTTTCATGTAGTCTGCGGCCATTTTGTATTGGCCAGAGTGATAGCCTATAGCTGGTTGCCACGAATAGGCAGGAAGATACTATTGGCCAGTGTGAGAGCCAACAGCTGACTGACACGAATGTTAACTAGCATGCTAGCATGCAAAAAATATCGATAGCTGCATTCGTCACAAGTGGGGAAAATTTAAATCTGCATGACACTTTAATCCAATTGGCTCATTCAGCACTTAAACTCAACATTGATTCTGATTCCACAGAACTGGGTTGGGTGTGAAAAAGTATTGTTGTTAATATTCTTTTTTCATTCGGTTTTCCAGTTTTTTAAAGCTGATCGTTTTATGTTCATTTTGTTTTAGTTCTTTTTTCGTAACAGATTTAATGTTTAGTATAGAGCTTAGAAAAAAAAAATTCGCAGTGTGAGATAGGCAAGAAGTAAGGTATGTAGCAACATCAGTACGGCAAAGGGCTCTTCTTTAAAGGCAAGGAAGGGCAAAAATATTTTGAGTCAAGTGTTAGCGATTGCTGTATGAGTCGTACGATTTTTGAATCAAGCACGGGCAACGCCGGGCCATGATGCTAGTATTAATATATACATATCTACACCCACACACACACATATATATAAATATATATTTTACGTGTTATTATAAAAAATTGTATTTATATTTATTATATATTACTACTTATATTTTGCTGATGCATGTGTTTGAATAAGGCATGGCTAATTTTAACGATGTGTCGTCTAACGTTTTGGGCAATCAAATGTCTTAATAATAGCAATAAGCCTTTATGATTAGATTATGTTTAACTTAAGTATGTCTTCTCTCATATAATCTATTCATTCTAAAAGAAAATAGTTGCATTGAAAACTTCTATAATTATTATATAGGAAATATTAGCTGATAATAAGTGAATAAAATTAAATGTCAATATTATTGTCAGCTCTAATACATAGCGATCATTTTTTCTTTTTTCATTGCAAAAGGTTCTTTTTTGAGATAATATTTTTCTGCCTGGACAAGTCCAAGTTGTTTGCACGAATCTCTGTAAATATATTTCATCATCATTTCAAATGAATGTCTTACTCCCCCATTGAAAGCTTCTAGAATTATTTAGAAAAGAATCCCTATTTCCACGTTTATTCAGTTTTGCAAAACTGGCTTCAATGGCGTTTGTAACAAATAAAGATTTCAATATGTATGGTTAATTTAAGTAAACAATGTAACATAAAAAAACGAACATGAAAGAGAAAAGAAAGTGTAAACGGAAGAAAGAAAGAAAGAAAAAGAAAGAAAAAGAAAGATGAAAGAAAGAAAGAAAGAAAGAAAGAAAGAAAGAAAGAAAAAGAATGAAAAGATTAGAGCAAGCAAGAAATTAAACGAACAAGAAAGAAAGAAGGGCGAACGCAAGAAAGCAAGAAAGAATGAATGAAGAAAGAAGGAAAGAAAATAAGAAAGAAAGAAAAGAGGAAGGCAGACAAGAACTCAAAATAACAAGAAAGAAAGAAAGACAAGTAGAAAAAAAGAATGAAGAAAGAAACAAGTAAAGCAAATGAACAAGAAAGAAAGAAAGAAAGAATGAAAGAAAGAACAAGAAAGAAAACACTAAAGCAAGCAAGAAATCAAACAAGCAAGAAAGAAAGAAAAAAAGAAAGAATGAAATGAAAACAATGAAGAAAAAAGGAAGCACGCATGAAAGAGAAAAAAAAAAAAAGAAGAAAGAAGGAAATCAAACAAGCAAGAAGAAAGAAAGGGAGAAAGAATGATGAAAGAAGTAAAGCAAGCCAATCAAAGAAGAAAGAAAAAAAATGAAGTGAAGCAATAAAGTCTTCAGTAAATAAATAAAGAATGAATGAAGAAAGAAAGAGAAAAAGCAGACAAAAAAGAAAGAAAAATGAAAGATAGAAAGAATGAAAAAAGAAAGTAGGAAAGCAAGCAAGAAAGAAATAAATAAATAAAGAATGAAAAGAAAAAGAAGGAAAGAAATCAAGCAAGAAAAAAGCAAGGAAAAATGAAGAAAAAGTAAAGCAAGCCAGTAAAGAAGAAAGAAAAAAATGATGTAAACAATGAAGAGTGCAATAAATAAATAAGGAATGAAGAAAGAAAGAAAGAAAGACAGAGAGAAGGAAAACAAGCATGAAAGAAAGAAAGAAAGAAAGAAAGAAAGAAAGAATGAAATAATGAAACATAGAATGAAGAAAGAAAGAAAGAAGGAAAGTGTTATGTAGTGGTTTCACAGTGGAGGCTTGTATTTGTACTAAGTCGGTCCTAAAATAGGTTCGACGTACAAAACGTTAGGAACTTGATATAACAGTTAATGACGCAGTAATCTAGTTGTGGTGGCTGATACTTTAATATCCGATTAACGGTCGTCCAACATCGACCGACTGAGCAACTCCCTGGCCGACTGCTACTACTACTCCTACTTATTATAGGTGGGAGAGTCTATTAACAATAGAATAGGTGTGTCCACTATAACAGAAAGCAAGCAAGCAAGAAAGAAAGAAAGAAAAAAGAAAGAAAGAAAAGGAATCAAATTCAAGAAAACCACGAAAAGTTATGAAACTAATAAAGGAGAAAAGTTAATAAACCAAAAACAAAAACAAAACCGAAAAGTAAAACCGGGGGTGAATCGTTAAGAAAAAACGATTGAGCCAAAGTCAAATCAGGAAAGTTAGCATTATTATTGTAAATATCTTTTTTCAACTTTAGACACGTACAAATTTGCCTTCAGCAAACCGTGATGTCTGAGGAAAAACAAAAACAGAAAATAAAAAAAAAACAACAAACACAAAAAAATAACGAACAAAATTGAAGTGCAATCGAAAAATGCTTAGCTCAACACATAAGAGAGTTATATAAATATATTGATAGAAAGAATTGATATATATATATATATATATATATATATATATATATATAAAGATTTAGATCGATATGAACAGACTGCGATAGATATATAGAAACGAACAAAATAAGATAGACAAACAAACAGACAGATAGATAGATAGATAGATAGATAGATAGATAGATAATGAAAAGAGCGAGGTTCGGTATTAGATGTGAA